AAAAATGTATGTTTATAAGCTTTTTAAAATTTCTATTTAAAACAATATAATAAGAAGTAGAATAAGACAAATAAGTTGCCAATCATATGACATTAGTATTAATAAAAAATATTAAGAAATTAAATGATTTAAATAACCAAAATTATATCCTAAAAATGAAACTAAATCCGCCAGCAGTTGGCGGCAAGTCACTGATTTTATCACTGAATCATTCATTCAATTGATTCGTTCGAACGGCTGATTCATTCAGGAATGAAGCAAGTGACTGTCTTTATTAATGGGTAATCATGAATCACTGAATCACTAGATTTGTTCAAACACGCACTTTCATTGAATGAATGAAACGCAGCTGTGTTTGCTTTTAGAGATGCGAAGTGGCTAAGCTGTTACTATATTTGGAACTATTTTCGTTGATGAAATAGATTTTCATCTGTCAAATTCAAAAATGTATGTTTATAAGCTTTTTACATTTTATATTTAGAACAATATAATAAGAAGTAGAATAAGACAAATAAGTTACCAATCATATGAAATTAGTATTCATAAAAAAATAATTTGTACTACAGAGGTGGCACAGAAGAACACAAAAGTGGCTTGTAGGTACATTTTCACATGTTTAATGATGCTCAGAGGTGGCATGAGTGCAATCAAATTCATACATTCATGTGGAGATTAATGTTTTAAATACACAATTTTGAATACAGAAATATTAAATGATTTAAATAACTGGAATTATAGGATAAAAATTGAATGATGCGAGCGGCATCACTATGTTGTCAGTGAGAAGCTGCAGCCGTGGCGGGGATGATTTTTGGTGTGCCAGCCGGCAGAACAACAACAACGCGTTACATGTTTCTTTTTCCCTCATTTTTTGCCAATTGGCGGAAATCCGTCGTAGACTTGCTGCAATTAACGGAAATTCGTCGTCGCGACGGAGAACTTTAATCCCTGTAGTCTAGAGCAAATTATGCAAAAACTCCCGTTATAATCACTGAAGCTGCGAAAATCTCTCGTGCGCACAGAAGACAACTCTGGCGTCTTCAGCGCTGACTAATCTAAACGCCTCTGATTGGCCACTGCATTCAGAAATGTGTGTGATTGGTTATAAGGCTTAATGCTGCAAAAAACAATGCGTAAAAAAGCAATCTGATGCAACGTGCACAGGTTTAAATGTAATTCTATGAACACTTTTCATATTTAATTTTAGCTGTGGCAGCCATAATAGATTTAGTTTAATTATGCAGGGGCAATTTTTGTCCCTTTATCTTGAATTTGTGGGGTATTTTTGTTCATATTGGTGGCATTTTTGCCATAAGCCCCCATTAATTTTCAACCCTGGTTCCTAAGAACACCACATTTCAGTTTTACCTTGGAAATACATGCTTAAAAATGATCGAAATGGGAATGGCAGAGAATGTTCTGCACTTCACCAACAGCAAATTCTATACAAACCTGGCACTGCTATTCTTCCTGATGTTGGGTGGTCCATTTCCAAAATAAAGGCCATTGTGAGCAACCTGGGAATGGAGAAAAAGGAATGTGAGCTAGAGACAATTATGCATGCCAGGTTTTTACACTCCTTTTCTTTAAGCTATTAACTCACTGTCTTCACAAAGACCACACAAATTTTGCCATCTTACCTTTGACTTTTTTAAAGACAGAGACATCTTTGGTTTTACCCAAGAAAAACAAGGCTGTACAGCTCAAGATTTACAAAGGATAATGGATTGTCACGGGTGGACTGATGTATTGTCAATCATCATTCTGTTTGTTCTTACAAACATATCTTTCCAAGCTATACTTATATTAGGCACATTTCTACAAATTTTAGTTTTAAAGGAACAGTTCACCTAAATATGAAAATTACTCTACTGTTCAAGCAATGTAAACTTTTATTCAGTAAAGATGCATTAATTTCATCAAACGTGACAATAAAGACTTTCATAATGTTATAAAAATTATATTTTATCTCTATATCTATTGAAGTGTGAAAATTCAGCTTTAATCACAGGAATAAATTACATCTTAAAATATATTCAAATAGAAACAGTTAATTTAAATTGTAATAATATTTCACAATATTACTGTTTTTACTGTATTTTTTTATTTATTTATTTTTATTTATTATTATTATCATTATTTTTTTTTCTGTATCCAATAAATGCAGCATTGGTGATCATAAGAGACAAAAACTATATATATATATATATATATATCACTGATTCCAAACTTTTAAACTGTAGTTTAAGATGTAGTTCATCTTTCCAAACTTTTTTTTTTTCCTGTGAATTTTTGAAGAATATTTTGGCTGCTCTTTTCCATATAAAGACTATAAATGGAGACTGGGGGTTCAAAATGAAAAAAAGTACCACTAAAAGTGGCAAATACGACTCACACAATATATGCAAAGTATTTTAAGCCATTCAGTAACTATATGGGAAGTTATCACCAAAATCAATGTCATTATTTCTGGAAAATCTGATTTTAGAACATCACTGACATCAAAAGTCATTGTCCTGTGACCGAAATTACCACATGATTTCAGAATACTTTGAATAAAGTACACAAGTTATATGGATAATGTTGTGGTGCTTTTTTCCGTTTGCAGCTTGACAGTATCCGTCCTGTTTCATTTTCATTATATTAAAAACAGTTGCCAGGGTATTCTCAAATTTCAGTCTTGTGCTCGACGGAAAAAACAAAGTCATACAGGTTTGGAACGACACAAGAGTGAGTACATGATGACAGAAGTTTCTTTTTTGACTGAACTATTCCTTTAATCCACCACATTCTTTGTGGGTAAAGATGAAAGGAAATGTATATGAAAACAGATGATGTGCCGGAGTTGGCATCTTTTTCCGTTGTTCGGTTTGGCTCATGAGACTCCAAATGCCACTCAAAGTCCGGCATCGGTCCCACCAGAGTCCAAGGCTCTATGTAGTCTGTCACAGTGCATTAGTGTCATTAGCGCTATAGGTTCTCATGTCACTGAGCTGAAGCCAGACAGTTATGTAAGATGATGTCCAGACCACCAGACGTGGATGACACACTTGCGTTCTCTCTCCCTCACTCTTTTCTTTTCTCCTCCCCAATGTTTCCCTCAATACTCTCTCAATGTGCACTTTTCTGACTTTTCTTGGGAAAGTTCCAGATTTTGTGAGATAGGAGCTTTGCACGATATCATGCTTTATTTAGAGGCAGTTTGGATGCGTGGCGAGTATCTCTCTCTTAGGGTCGTCTGAATGATGCGTTCATGGGTAATGTGATGTGGCTTCTGATTAGAGAGCCATTCATCCAATCTCCTCTCTCTCTTCTTTTTTTTTCTTCAACCGACCTTCTTTTCTTCACTGCCTCTTGAGCCGGCTGTACAATAAATGATGTCCATTACGATTGTTGGTTGTCAGATTGTACAATATGACAGCAATGAGATCTTGGGCAGGGTTCATGACAGACTGCAGGATGTCAATGGTCATACATGCTTGCTTTGATTTTTTTCTCTAACTAACTTCTGTGGCAGTTGTAAAGACTGGGTGTCTTAAAACACACACACACACACACACACACATATGAAATTATTTTCGTTGTCCACTAGCAATGTCTATTAGTGGATACACAATACATGAATTACAGGACAATTGTCATTTTTGCAATTTTTCCGAAAATCATGAAAAATCCCACCACAGTGTCATTTCCACCATTGCAAATCTGTGCTTAATGCCATTCTGTGGTGATTTATTTTTATTTTTATGTATTTATTAATTGTTTTGTCTCATGGCTTTCACAGATGAATATGTTATGTATCCTAAAAAATGCACACAATTAAATAATAATTTTACGTATGTATGTATGTATTTGACTTTCAACCAAAAATAAATAAATAAAATACATTTATAATGGGCAATACTGGGACAAAAGTCATATTTAAAAAAAATGTATAAACATTTTCACAAAGTAAAAACCCAAATGCTATATATGTAGATGTTTATGTATATGTATATTTACATACTGGTAAAAAAAAAAAAAATGTATAGCCTGAATGCACTGTAAGTCGCAAAATAAACGATAGTAAAAAGTAAGTTTCAATGTGACCTTCATATAACAAAAAGGAATAGCTGAAATCTATTTCAGGTGAAGAAACACCTGATTATTTAATCAACTGTTGTGCTTCCATTGGCTCCTGCTGCATCACATGGTCACACTACAGGAATGTGGCCAAAACATTTCGGACACTGACAGAAGTCTGTCAAATGACACGACTTATTGCAAATGCCATTAATCGGCTGTTGGTGAGCATGCTAAAACGACTCAAGACTTCCAATTTTGCTTTTGAAAACAAATCTCAAATTGAGTCTCAGATGGCAGAAATCACTGTAAAAGTCCAACATGTGTGCATAATGCTTTAGTCAGTCTGAACATACTCATCACAAAAGGCTCAATTCTGGGTTCTAAGAAAGGCTTTGCTCAGTTTTTTGTATCACAAGCTGCAATATGGAAACAGTTAAATCAAGCTGAATCATTGGGCTCCTGGCCATGAAGTCTTGAGCCATACATGCAACTACATCAGTCAGTGTGTGCATCATCAACATATCCGCTGTGTGCTTTTGAAATGCAAATAGGTGAAGTGAGGAAGGAAAGGTGGAGGAGACTTATGGCAGCAGAGCTATTTTGTGGGGCAATTGGATGATGCACGGCATGAAGAATCAGACGGAGTCTTCAAAACAGACGGCTCTGTTACAACTGGAGAGAACCGAAAATGCTAATAGAGGATAGAGGAGAGATAATGGAGAAAGCACAGAGTCAAAAAAGAAGAGAAGATAATGATGATGTGTTTTCCAGGGAAAAGCTTAGTAATGGACCTGGTGGAATTACATTTTTCAGGACAGAACAGAGGGGTTCTCCACAGTCCCATACTGATGAAGGTGACCCTATGACCAATGACAGAAACAAGCAAACAGACTTTCAACAAGCTATAAGCTGCAAGAAATTGACACCTTTGAATGTGTGCGTTTTACAGCTTGAATGGATGTTCATGAACAATGAAAATGTATTTATGTATTTATCAGCTTTAAGGAGTATAAGAACTTTTTTGGATGTATGTTAAGATGTTTTAGTTGCTTGTTAGTTGCTATTATGACTTGTTAGCTCCTGACAGATGACATTTGTCCTATAGTTTACCAGTCTACCAGTTGCCACCTGCCTTATTATCAGATTTTTTTTTAATGTGAATCTATGAAGGTTCTGTGTTTTTATGATTTACATAAAATCACATTTAAAACCTTCCAAAAATATAGTTAAATATAGTTGCTGAGTCGCTTGTGATACCCAGAGTAAGTTTTTTTTTTTTTTTCTTTTTCTATATCTTTAAATAAATCTTGGGTGGTTTATGTGTTATTTTGACTGCAAAAAAGCAGTCAAAATAATAACCAAGCTATTATATTATATAATAATAATAATAATAATAATAATAATAATAATAATACAATTAATTAATTAAAACTAAAACCATAAAAAGTTACTTGAAATAAAACTTTATCTGAAACAAAACAAAATTAAATTAAACAACGACGACTAGACAGGTTCTCTTAATCATCTTCTTAACAAGATGCATGATCATCGTGCTTATGGCCACTGATAAGCCAGCTGTCTTCTACTGGTTAAACGGCAGCTGTACTTTCATATTTCAACTTGCTGGACAGACTACAGCTCTCTCCCACTTAATGCCAGCATGACGTATCCCACTCTTCAAAGCAGAAGGAGCTGGAGAATATCAGTCTGCAAATCTGACTTGTGATGCAGGAATCATGAATCACGCCGTGTTCAATCGCTTAGGCCAGAGGAAAACTGGATCTCTGACTGCGCCTGCTTTCTACCGAGGCTTTTTTTTTCTCCATTTCTGTCACTTGACAGAGTTTGTGTTCCTTGCTACTGTCGCCTTTGACTTGCTAGTTGGGGTCTGAAAGGACCACAGGACCACAGTGCAACAAATCACCAACAGCTACAACAGTGGTGACCAGGGCAATGTGTCACAGCACACAGTTCTTCGCAGCCTTCTGCGTATGGGCCTGCGTAGCTAGTCGAAGACCCAGTCGTGTCCCCATGCTAACTGCATGTCATCACCAACAATGCATGAAATGGGCCCAAGATCATCGAGACTGGACCGTGGATGATTGAAAGAAAGTGGCCCGGTCTGACAAATCAAGATTCCTGGTGCATCACGTCGACAGCTGAGCGCCGATACGCAGATTACAATAGAGGCTGTGGCACCTGGATCCACTGTTGGGTGGACAACCCAGCATTTTTTAGAGTGTATATATATATATATATACTGTATATGTATTAGGGCTGTCAGTTTAACACATTAATTTGCTTAATTAGTTATGGAAAAATAACACGATTAAAATATTTACATGCAGTTAAAGCACCTGCACGTCATCTTACATTTAATACAGTTGACTGTTGACAAACATGATGCAGGGCCACTCACTATGTAATGTCCATAAATGCAGTTATATGCCCT